TAGGGTGAGTAATATTGAGGTTAGGCTTCAGTCGAGTGCTAGGTAGGTAAGGAGGGGAAATCAATAAATGAGGCTGTGAAATGACATCGACTGAGATGGTTAGGACACATGTTACGTATGCCTAGTCATCACCTTCCACGAAAAGCTGGAAAAGAGCTAGTGGCGGTCAAACCAAAACATGTCACCAGTCAATGAAATCGACAACAGTTAGTTTAAACCACGTAGGAAGGTGTAGACTTCCTGGTTGGGGTCCTCGGGAGGGTAAAAACCAATGGTTGGATACAATTGGTGATATGGTTCAAAATCGTTCTCGATGGCTGGCGCAGATGCATCCACTCCTCGTGACTTATAATTTCCAATTAAACCGTTTTGTTCTTCGTTAATACTATTCCTTTGTCTCACACCTCTGTTTACTGTCTCTAATATGCATTTCTCCTACTTTCTTCTCTTGCTTTGTGTGCTACATGGAGTGTGACGACTCGAACTGTTGCACATCTGTGCAAAGTTCTATATTGAAACCAGTCAGTCAGCGCACAAAGCAAGAGAAGAGAGTAAAGAGAGGTGATAAACAGAAATATGAGGCAAAAAGATTCGTAATATGAAAGAACAATACAGTTTTATTGGATAGATATGACAATTCACATAGAGTGAATGCATCTGCTCCATCATTGACAACGATTTTTAGCTATATCACCAATTGCCTTCAGCCTTCATTGGTTTTTACCATCCCGAGGACCCCAACGAGGAAAGCAATCTACACCTCCCTACATGGCTGACTGTTTGGCTGTCTTAAACGAACTGTTGTGGATTTCATTGACTGATGAAACCATGTTTTGGTTTGACCATCACTAACCAGCTGGCTCTTTTGTCCAACCAGATCCATCCTATATCAGTCAGCTAACATTGACTTTTGTCGAGGAAGGTGATGGATGGCTGGATATGCATGCGAACCACATGTCCTAACCATCTCCACCAAAAGTTTCAAAAATGTACAAGCGATTATGTCACATCTCATACTACATACAAATTTACGTGGATGTGTAGTCTCACATACCTACTAATATACTTGTTAGTGTTGGTCAGCGCATAAGAAGAGGAGTTGAATAGTTGTATTGGAGTTGCCTAATAAGATAAATAATTCAATCAATGAGTTGTAATCAGGATGCACATAGAAGAGAAGGAAAATATGGGATGATGTAAGTGAAAGACAAACAAATAAAAATTAAGTAAGTGGAAATTAACAATGTTGTTACCATGGTAGTAAAAGTGGTTGAATAGTTTTCTTTTGTATGCAGAACTTGTGTTTCTCTATCTAAATGAATACAGCCTCAGTAATGGAGCCAAGAGACGAGAGTGTATTGTCTGTCTTCGGTAGGTTGTTCGTCACTGCGTAGATTACTTACAAAGTGGAAGTGTTTCTTGAGACGGGATGACCAGTGTGGATAAGGTATTCAATTATTGTACTCCTTACAGAAGTACTACTACCTTTCTGCAACCTTATAGAAGTAGTCAGATTCGAAGTCAGTGAAAGACTGGAGAACTCTACTGTGATAAAGAATGTTCTTCTCAAAGATGATAAAGTTGTTCTCTTAAGGATATCCATCACAGGTTAAATCTCTCTTGAAATCAAAGTTCATGTAGAGTTTCTTTTATTGTACAAGTATTGGTTCATTTCTCTGAATTTTCGGCTTCATGTTCGTATCAGTGAATCTCAATAAAGATTTCTTTCAGCAGGTTTACTTCTTCTCCTAGAGTGTCAGGGCTACAGTTGATTGACTGATAATATTCTGGAACCTGTAGGTGAACATGTATGCATGTACTCGTTTGCTTCGTGATACTTTTCAGTTCCTCGATTGTATACAAGATATGAATGTTACGAACAAAAGTATACTATCTCTGTCGAAATTAAATCACTTTTTACCAATATCCTAATTACAGAAACTCTGTCTTTTCTATATGTAAATGAAAACAGTGTTGTATATGAAACAACTACTCCTGAGGTATACTCTTAATGCGATTATTTTTTATAGCTAAAGAAGAAAATGAATTCATCGAATAGAGCCTTGTCGCTGAAGTGTTTGTTTGTTCTTTTCATTAATGCCTAGATGGGGATTATTCATGAAAATCACATTTTTCTTGACGGCTAAATTATACTAACCACCAGTAGTAGTTACTTAGTCTGATGTAGGCGAATGGAGATTCGAATGTTTTTTAGCCAATGAGCCATATGTCTATTTAATTCAATTTGGACCTGTCCCGTTGATTGAACATAAGTGCTCGGTCTCTGTTGACGGTTCTGCTCCTTGTGCGGATGTTTCGACGATGTTTGAGGATTTATCTTGAAGGAACTTGATGGATGTTGACTAACAGAGGAGAAATCCAGGATGCACATTTCGTCCTTTTCGAGACTCATCAAATGGATGTACCCGGACTCCTTAGTGATTGATGGTGTTCCCGTTGAGACTCGAACCCCAGTACCCATATCGTTCCAAGAGCTAAATCGTTATCCACTAGGCTACTTGGGCCACGAGATCCACCAGGGGTGTCAGTTATTGTTTGATTCTATTTGGACTGTCCCATTGGTTGATTGATTGAACCGAAATGTTCGGCCTCTGTTGACATGTCTGCTTCTTGTGTGGATACCATCGAGTCTCAGTGAGAGCACCATCACTCACTGAAGAGTGCAGGTACACACAGATAATGACTCTTATTTAGGACGAAAAGTGCATCCGGGACCCTAGTTCTAGTCACCATCCATGATATTACTTGAGCCATATATAGCTCTGTTCACAAATCGAAGTTGTAGTAGTATATACTGGACATTAGCAGTGATACTTGTGAGCACAAAATTTTTATCATATACTTAACAAGCAGCCCGCTTAAAACTTGGGCTACTGATAACCTCCATTAATACATTTCATATAATTTCTCTTATTCAGTTTGTTTAAATCAAGTAAAATATAACTCCCTCCCCTAATATTATTGTTTACTCTGGTGAGTATTTAAAACATTCACAACCTGTTGTGATTCGCATGTTTCTATTAAACATGAAATGAAAAAGCATTATCCTCGATGGATGACATGTTTATCGCAGTACATGAGACGACCATTCCTTAGCCATGTTCTTGGTTCACAAAATCTCCTCCTGAACTTTTTATAATTGGCATTCAACAACAAAATGTCGTCGTGTATTTGTCGAAGGAGTCAAAGAAGAGATGTCATAGTGGTGGATTTGTTTGCACTTCAGGTCAGATAGAGAACTGTGCCAAACCATCTACTGTCAGTCAAATCTTTTATTTGAAGATCCTGGACAACGAAGTGGAAATATCATGCTATAAACTTCGCTGAAAATTCTGCGATGATGCTAGCAGTCACTTTATTCCAAACAATAATAGTTATACATAATGGAATTCTCGTGCGTCGCTGGAACAGCGGTTGGGACGCTCGCCGACCATGCACATATTACGGGGTTCGATCACCGGCCAAAAACGCACTCCTTTACCTCCCTCAGTCAGTAATAAAAGCTGGTAAAGAGGAAAGGTTGGGCATGAGGCTAGCAACCCCATCCTGTAAAAAATAATCACCACTGCTAGAGAAATTTCAAGCCTCTAGCTTGAAGCCCTATGTTCCACTGGCAACGTGAAGGAATAAAAAAAATGCGATTTTCAGCGTTTTTATACATATAACAATAATTTAGCTCCTTTTATAAATATGTACATACATAAAATTTAAAATAGTATTTATAATAGTAATAATATTAATAATGAGACCACTATAAACAGAATGCTGCGGGAAAAATAATGAAGTATAGATAGATAATACGTGTAGTAATAATGATCTGTGCTTATTAATATATGTGTAAAACTTGGGCACTGTGGTAGTAAGTAATTCCATATTAGCTTGTTTATTAGATATATCACACAGTGAAACAGTATAACTATTTACTGGATGACGTTTCGAACAGAATATATTGTTCATAATCATATCAATTGTAATCACACGACTTTAAAATTTGATAACAGAGGATTTGTTTATCGAATCAACTGCAAATACATGTAATAGGAATGATTCATCACCTGTCCAAGATATCTGGAAAATACTACTACCCCTACAACAAATAGGAGAAAACAAAGAAAACTAAAAAACTCAAGTTTCAAAGTCGTGTGATTACAATTGATATGATTATGAACAATAAATTTTTTTCAAGACGTCATCCAGTAAATAATACTGTTTCACTGACTGTGTGATACATCTAATAAACAAACTAATATGGAATCTGTGCTTATACTTTACAGTTCAGTTATTGACTTCTTAAAAAGTTTATAAGTTCTTTTCTGAAATCTGAGTCCTCACACAAACACGCGTGCTAAATTGGTATGGTAGAATTTTTATACTTAGTTGTACGAACGTAAATTCTCAGGTAGTTTCTTCTGGTTCTACCCGAAAGGGATACAAGGGAAAGTGTTCAGAATAATTGGAGAGGATGTTCGGTGGTATCAGACAAGATTAGTTTAGCCAACTGCTTGCAAGAATTATTGAAGTGTCTATTGACAATAATGTCAGTTAGCTGAGTCAAAAGCACATCACTAACCCCCTACTTACAGTCTTCAGTGTTCTACATAGTATGACATAGTCATTTTTGAGAAGTCCAAGGAAGAATAATGGTGAATAATAAAGGAGAATGGGCAGAATACATGAATTGAAAAAACTGTCAGGGAAGAGGTTGAGTTGAGCTATGTCAGCAGAAAGTCTCAACTTCTTTATGTAATAAGTCAGACGATATGAGACGACCAACAGAGATTCCAAGAGAAACTGATACTGAGATGAGAGATATTCGATTTACTCCCTATCACACAGTGACGTCAATATTACAGGAATCATGCGACTGAATCAGTCAGTTCACGCAAGTCTTTTTTATTATTATTATTATCATAATTATCTGTCATTCAACTTTGCCTTCTTTTCCATTTTTCTTTTTGTCTCTTTCCACTCCATTATAGAGATCAAAAGGCTGATGAAATTCGTTTACGCGCCAACGTGAAACAGTAAATTTGAGAAATACTCACCCACCCACACAGAGCGTGGGTGGGTGTGATGATAACACAACATTTAAATTTCTAAATCATGCGCAATCATTTTTCTTTCTCTGGTTCAGTAAAAAGAGACAAAATGTTCAGTAGAGTCTTAATTTCATTCTTCGTGCATATATCCGTACACCATACATACATACAAATGCCTCTAAGTCCAGTCATTATTGAGAATTTACCAATAGCTTAGCTAACAGAATTTCAAATTCTTCTGATTATGTAAATTAGTCTTCAGTGTCTCTGTGCGTGCGTGCGTATGTGTATCGTCTGATGATGATGATGATGGCGATGATCTCTAGAATCTCATTTCATCATTCAACTTGTTTCTTTTTGAAGTCTCTGTCTGTCTGCCTGTCTGATCTGATCTGATGTTGTCTCATACCTATTGAAATAACACGCTCATACAAAAAAGTCTTTGACCTATATATAGTCTCTGTGCTATATTGTATTTCTTGTCAAATGTACTCATGCTTTCACGTGCACACACATACACACTTTGCACGCATACAATCATTACACATTCGTCTTATCTTTACACCAATCAGTTCCTTTTTAATTTTGTTGTCACACCACTTTCTAATATGTCTCATTCTGTCCTACTGGTACAGTTTTGATTTATTTTTTTTTCTCTGTTTTTGATTTCAAAATCAATAGAGTTTTTCGTGTTTTTTTTGAGTACATTGAAATCGTTTTGCTTTTTTTTGTTTTGTTTAACTTCGAACTTTGTGTGTGTGTGTTGAGTATGATTTGTATTGAGTGTGTGTTTGTGTGTCTGTTTGTGTATATATCACAGTGATGATACTGGATGTGAAAGTCAGAGGAAGACGGGGATGGGGTGGAATGAGGTGCGGTTTGTTGGTGCGTGCGTGGGTGGGGGTGGGTGCTGGCTGATGAGATGATTTTCTGTTATTATTCACATTTTGTTTGTTCATAATGTCTTGGTGTGTGTGTGTGTGTGTGCGTTACTATGTCGCATATGCCTTGTTGCTTCAAATATAGAGTAGTTCATTGTTTGTTAGTCTTGTTATTGTCGTCGTCAGTTTGGTAGACGTGGAAGACGAAGAGAAAGGAGTCTACCTACACGTACATACATGATGCAATCTCTTAAATGTGTTTTATTTTGAGAATATTCACTACTTATACTTTCACAGTAATAATTTGTAATAGATAGATAAATACACAAAAGAAAGCTAACTTGATTGGTTGGAGGATTTCATTATGAGCTGATATCAGTTAGAGAACCATTGGTAAACCTGGGAGTATTAGACAGCTGCTTCGTCCTGATTTGGGACCTTCATCTGTACATACCCACCCACTGTGGTTCGAACCCGGGACCTTTTGGTTACGAGGCGAGCTAGCTCGTAGACCATCAAGCCACTGGGACCGTATCCAGTGGCCCATAAATTGTAACCAATTAAACAGAATCCCTACAAAACCAATACTTGAAAGCTAACTTGAGTTTAGTTCTTTAATAAGTACACACACTCACACTGTATTATTCGTTTATTATTCCCTTGGGTTCCGAGTGAAACATAGAAAGCTTGGGCAGCAGCACATCTCCATTTTGTCGCGATCACTTCAATCCTCTTCTTTTTCGCATCTGGCACGACGAATGCGTATAGACTCCCATCTTCTCCGCCGTGTCATTCTTGGATCCTATACCCAACTTGTCTTTTCCCACTGGAGTGATGATGGCCTGGCGAGCGATATCGCTCCCTAATGTGTATTCGATACAGCGCTTCATTTCCTTCGGTACATTTTTATTAAGCATTAGGTTCTTGATAACTGGCTGGTTTTTTTTCAGAGTTCGTCGTCACTCATCCCTTCTGGTAATCTGATCTTTCATATGGAACAAAAGTGGCTGTTTATAAAAGTTTCAAGCCTTTTAGAAATGACAAGGGTGTAGTGACTTTAGCGTTTCATGGAAAATTCCCAAAACAAGTGATTTAGCGAAGAGACTTTTTTTCAACGAATTTATTATCAAGCTGTACAATCGTATTTATATGGTTTTTAAGAAATTATATCCGGTTAGGGAATCGAATCATAGGTGTGAATGCATAAAATAATAATAGTAGTATGAAATGCAATTAAAACTAAAATGTTTGTGATTATAATAATCAACGAACTTTTCTGTATACAGAGATCTGGCTTTTCTGTTTCGATAACCAAAGCTTCAGCAATACAGATGAATCGGGTACGTAGTGATTCCGGTAAATTACTTTCTGCCTTGTAGATGACTTTAAAGGCGGAGGCTATAGAGATAGGGTGATCATTACCGACCAGATATTCAATGACCGCGCTTCTTATTGCTCCACTTCCACCTTTTCGTAACCATGCAGGATAGTCTTCTTGTACAGAACTCGAGTCAAACGACCGATATACCTAGCTTCACACGAGCAGGTAAATTGATAAACGCACATAGAGTTTGTCAACAGCGGGATCTTGTCCTTCAGGTTATTGAACAGTAATGGTCGACTGGTAAAGGCTATTCTCAGAGATGCAGCAGGGAATGTTCTTTTCAGAGACTATGATATCGTTGTCTATAAAATGTGGTGGAAATCCATTTTCTATTAGGATTTTCCTCAAAAGATTTAAGTCATCCTCCACAGTCTCAGGGCTACATATGCGCCGAATGCGGGTGTTTAGCATCCGAATCTTGTTCTTTATGCTGCAGAAGAATACCCAACTGACTTCAGAGTGATGAAGGTCTGTCTTGCTTTTCCTATCATGGCTGGTTTTGATATCTCATCAGTGCCACTTGAAGTCGAGACGACGCTGCTTAGTCAGATAAGTGAAGGAAGAAGGTGACCTCTTTCAAATTACTCCCGTTGATAGTCACTGGTGCTTGTTGTTGGTTGGTTGTGGAGTATCTGCATCGCCTCTGTCTTCTCTATGTTTACTGGAAGTCCAAACTTCGCCACTTGTTTCTCTTGCCAACTTGTTGGAGTCCTGCATCCAGAGCATCTTTTATCCTCTCCAGGATAACTCAACTTAATATTTTCCTTTGCGTGAACTAGAACATGATTGATTTCGCCCCAGTTCTTGCAAAGGCATAAGTCGCCTTTCTTAGTAGTTTGATAAAATAGTCTCTATCATTCAGTAGGAATCTTTCCTCCTAAATATTTTGCAATAGTGGTGTGATCAAATCCACATTTAAATGAATTTATTCAAATGTATAACATACACAATGATATAATGTTAATAATTGGATGATGCGTTTTCAAAGCACAGTTTATTGATTATAATCATATCAGTGTGTGTGTGTGTGTGTGTGATTCATTCACACACAACTTGCTGACTTGATTATTTATCCGGTTAGTAATAATACTGTATTATTGAGAACAAAACACGTAGTTCAGACGGTGAATTCATTTTCTTAGCTGTACAATTGCATATATATATGTATGAGTTATTTTGTATGCATGTGTACATTAAGTTTGTCAAACAAAAATACAATTGGTTATAGTTGCTTTAACTAAACAGGTGAAGATTAGTGAGTTTTGGGTAGAGTTACGTGATACAAAAACAGTCAAGAAAATTGGGTGTTAATGAAACTAGTGCAGTAACAAAGATGATGAGTTGTCACAAACAGTTGTTGAAAAGGGGTTACGTAATAATATGAGTGGTTTGATGATTAAGTTGTACTCAGGAGACTGAGTACAACTGAGATGGTTAGGACATGTGCTACGTATGCCTAGTCATCGCCTTCCTCGACGGGCAATGTTAGCTGATATAGGGTCAGGCTGGAAAAGAGCTAGCGGCGGTCAAACCAAAACATGGCACCAATCAATGAAATCCACAACAGTTAATCTAAGCCACGTAGGAAGATGTAGACTTCCTGGTTGGGGCCCTCGGGATGGTAAAAACCAATGGTTGGAAACAATTGGTGAAATGGCTCAAAATCGTTCTCAATGGCTGGCGCAGATGCATCCACTCCTTGTGACTTCTGATTTCCGATGAAACTGTTCGTTCTTCGTTATTACTACTCCTTTGTCTCACACCTCTGTTTACTGTCTATATTATGCATTTCTTCTACTTTCTTCTCTTGCTTTGCGTGCTACATAGATTGTGGCGACTTGAACTGCCGCACATATGTGCAAAGTTCTATGTCGAAAACCGACCGACCGAGGAGACACATAGGAACAAAGTAGAGAATACGAAATTACGTAGGAGTTCTAAATGAATACACGAATTATAAGAAATTAAAGAAACAGAAAATATTATGAAGCCATGGCAAGGGAAGCAGAACAAGCTGCAGGCAAAGGAGACCTCGCAACACCCTACCAAACTACTAGGTACCTATCGGGCAAACGTTTGACACAAATTAAGCCGGTGAAGGATGACAATGGAAAGTCACTCACCAAAGAAGTGGAGTAAAGAAAACACTAGGCCGAACACTTCAAAAGACCCCTAAATCGACCACCACCTACAACGCGCCCAACAATACCAACAACGGAGACAGAGCTACCAGTGAACACCAACCCCCCTAAAAATCAGAAGACCTGAAGGCAATCAAGATGCTGAAAGCTGGAAAAGCAGCAGGACCAGATGGAATCCTAGCAGAAGCGTTGAAAATGGACCCAGAGACAACAGCGGACTTGATGACGCCACTACTGGAGAAGGTGTGGAAAGAAGGCAAAGTACCTGAAGATTGGAAGAAAGGATACTTATTCAAAGTACCAAAGAAAGGAGACTTGAGTCAATGCAAGAACTGGCGCGGAATTATGCTCCTGTCCATCCCAAGCAAAATACTAAGCCGCATCATCCTGAACAGAATCAAACATGCCCTGGATGAAAAACTTCGACTGGAACAGGCAGGATTCAGGAGAAACAAGTCATGCATCGATCAAATCGCAACACTATGGATCATCACTGAACAGAGCTTGGAATGGCAGTCACCTTTCTATCTCAACCTCATCGACTTTGAAAAGGCCTTCGACAAAGCAGCGTCGATCGAGGGGTGATTTGGCAACTACTTCGCTACTACCAAGCGGTGCCACCAACAATTATACGTCTCATCCAACAGTTGTACGACAATGCTGCATCCCAAGTCATCCACAAGGGGAAACTCACGGAATCCTTCGAAGTGAAGACGGGAGTAAGACAAGCCTGCCTACTGTGTCTAATGATTTTCCTGATCGCGGTAGACTGGATAATGCGACAGACAGCGGGCAACGAGGAGACAGGCATAAAATGGACCCATACAGAAAACTTGAAGGATTTGGATTACATGGAAAATACCCATCCAGACATGAATATAAGAACAACAAAGTTCAGCATCTGGATTTCACCGATGATGTATGTCTGATTTCCCACAAACTCAAAGATATGCAAGCGAACATCAACAAGTTGGCAGAAGAAGCATCAAAGATAGGACTTCAGGTGAACATAGAGAAGACAGAGGTGATGAAGATTCCCGGGCAACACCAAGAACAGCAACAACAATCAGCATAAATGGAAGGAACCTGAAAGAAACAACCCCCTTTACTTACCTGGGAAGCATCGTTTCAACTACAGGCGGAACTGACGAGGATATCAAAGCATGAATCGGAAAAGCAAGACAAGCTTTCACTACTCTCAAGTCTGTGTGGAGGTCAAAAACTCTCAGCATCAAAAATAAGATACGGATTTTCAACTCCAATGTGAATTCAGTGCTACTCACTATACGGATCAGAGACTTGGCGCGTCATAAAGAGCATTTCCAACAAACTACAGACCTTCATTAACAGTTGTCTTCGCTCAATACTCAAGATCAGATGGCCAGAAAAGATCAGCGACAGGGATCTCTGGGAGCGAACCAACCCAGCAGGAACCGATTGTGAAACAAATAGGCTGGAAGAAATGGAGATGGATTGGCTGGCCATACTCTGAGGAAACCATCAAGTGACATCACTATATAAGGCATTGCTCGAGTGGAACCCGAAAGGGAAGCGGCGAGTTGATTGTCAGTGCAAGGTTGACTTGGAGGAGGTGATGTGAAGAGGAGATGAAAACGTGTGGGCAGACTTGGA